ATGCCAGTCATGTCTGGCCTGCTCTTGTGTTATCTGACTATGGAAAAGAATTGATTAGCCACCTTTGATCCGTTATGGAAACAGATGTTTCCTGCCTATGTTTGCTGCTGGAGCCTGCACTTCTCACATTTAGCTGTTTAAAAAGTAATTATTGTCAGGATAGCCAAGAAGAATCCTAAGTCCAAAGCAAACAATGAGAGCATGAAAAGCATGACCAAGCTCTAGCTATCCCTCCTCACTGACAGAGTCTACCCAAGCGTGGAACTAAGGCTAAAGCTAAGAAAAGAGCAGGAGAGAGTAAAACAAGGGGTATTTGAGAAGAGGAAGGATAGAAAAATTCACACAAACCAGAATCAGCACATGCCTCGTGTTTTCTGTTCTCTTTTCAGAGGAAGAGTTCACAGGTGTCTGTGGTTGGCTGGCCTGGAAGTTACCTACTAGACAGAGGAAGTGGAAGCTGCTTGACCAACAATCTCATCTCCACTGTACTCCCATGGAGAACTCCCCAGAAGTGCAGAAACCCAAAAGCAAGCCCTAGATCCCACTTGGGGTTTCCAGCAAGGGTTTGTGCACTTGTAGTCCACAGATCCTGAGCAATCCCAGGGTCCTGATTCCTTGAGTCCCCTCGGAAGGTCCAGGACTGGCACTGATTCCAGTCACTAACAAAGCTCTTCCTTCTTGGGACACAATGACAGGTGGCCATGTGGTCAACTGTCCCTGGAAAGGCTGGCCTGAGACTATACTATATGGAAGGGTTACCCACAACCCGAATCAGGCAATCAGGCTGTGCTACCTCCTCTGTCACCATGTGGCCGGGCAGCTTTAATGCCCAAAACAAGCTAAGGTAGAAAAGGCTCTGCAGATCCACAGACATTTGATGCCACATAAATGAACCAGCTTTAACAATCGTTGTCTAATCTTTTGAAGTGCAGTGCTGTGGTAGACACCATCTCAAAGAAACCTACAGCACTCAAGTCTCAGTCAACTAAGGGTTATCACACTGACTCCCATACTCCAAGGTGCTAGAGAACATGCATGGAGACCAGATTCAATCTAAGTCTTTTAATACTTTGACATCTCTGAGCATCCGAAGCTATATAGTACAGCCTACGATGTCCTGATATCTGTTCTCCAGCAGAAAGATCAGACTTTCCACCCAAGGTGATGTCATAATCCTGAGCAATAGGATGGACTCTCACACAACCATTCAACCCACCAGCCCCAGGCAGCACTGTGTGGATTCAGAAAATCTAGATGGAGTCATTCCTACAGGGCATGTAGAGGTAGAAAGCTCACTTCCATCCCCTCTCCTCACTCACTCATGGCCATACTACTGTCACTGTACCCAGAACAGCACTTAAGAGCCCAGGATGCTCATGGAACCAGCAAGAGGACTGACAGGACACAGCAGATCACCAAGACCATCCAGGAGTAAATGTCTAGGGATGCTGATGTTTCTGCATGCCATCAGCACACAGACAGGATCACCTCAGACCCACAGAGCAGCTTCTGAGCCTGTAACACTGAGAAGAGCAGCCACCAGGTAGAGCCAGAGGCACAACATGGGCACAAGAAAAGAACTGAACACCCTGACTACTGTGTGACTTGAAACATACTAGCCTCACACAGAAGTAGTGTACATCCACATGAGAAGCCTTTTAAACAGTTCTTTATGCTCAACTCTTCCACTTAAGAGGGAAAATATTCAATTATGGCATCAATTTAAGCCATGTACAATTACCATTTGAAAGCCAATCAGCAATGATGAGGCCGTTGACCACCTGCTGTGTGTGGTCATATAATAAACAAAGTGTTAACTAGACAGATTATTAACAGCACATCAAGAAGAAACCCAGCATGCCACTCTTTAATGGCCAAGGATCTGACTCACTTCCCTAGACAGCCACTTACAAATTGAAAACATGGAAACATTTGCAACCAGCACAAATAAGAACCAGCACATTCTAGACAGCTGAGTTCCCCCAGGGAATCATCCCATTCATGCATTTCTCCCGTTTCCATGATCTGTGATATGTAAGCATGTGTGTACCAAACCCTTAAAGAAAGCTAAGAGCATGATGCAGCCACACGTCCGTTGTTCTTACAATGCAAGGCAGTTTTATTGGAAGCATGGCGATGCTCAAGGACGCTAGCCCAAAATGGAAGGAAGCAGGTTCTTAGATAGGTGGCCCTCTCCCAACAGAAGCATCTGACCTGGGGTTTCAGTCAGCAGAGAGGACCTCTGTGCACCTGAGAGGTGGGGGAAAGCAGTGACCCCACCCCTTGTCCTGACTCATAAGCATCTCCAGGCCCTGCATGACTCATGAATCCAGCAGCCAGCCCTCTCTCTCTTCCGCCCTCTCATACCCAGGGGAGGTAACTGAAAACCATCAGGTAAGGATTTTTGGAGAGGCAAGAAGTTGAGAGAAGAGGATAAAAGTACATAAGTTGGGCAGAGGGGGACAGGAAATCTTTCTACTCCCAATGTGTAAATAGAACAATTTAGTCAAAAGCAACAACAATTTGCCTAAAATATTCAAAAAGGAGCCTCAGTCTCTTACACTGCTGAATACATACAGTGGTCAGAATAGCACAGAACAAGTCTGTTACAATACCTCTTGGGAATGTTGCTGACTGTACTGTTAGTGGGAAGTGGGGAGTTAGAGATGGTGTGTGTGTGTGTGTGTGTGTGTGTGTGTGTGTGTGTGTGTGTAGCAGCCAGCATTTCCCCTATTTAAATATTCCCAAGTCCATCTCTCCAGGAAAGGCCCCACAGAATAATAGCTGCCTCAAAGCACTGAAGCTGAAAAGCCATAGAGAAAACATCAATTTTCTTGAAACACCCTAAGAAGGAGAGCTCTTCAGCCATCTGACTTCAAAGGCCCACACATTTCCTCTTCCTCCTGGCTATAGGATGCATGTTTGTTGTATCAGGCAGGTGGTCATCATCCAGTGTGGGGTGGAGGGGAGGTCACCAGCATCCAGTGTGGGGTGGAGGGGAGGTCACCAGCATCCAGTGTGGGGTGGAGGGGAGGTCAACAGCATCCAGTGTGGGATGGAGGTCCAGCATCCAGTGTGGGGTGGAGGGGAGGTCACCAGCATCCAGTGTGGGGTGGAGGGGAGGTCACCAGCATCCAGTGTGGGATGGAGGGAAACTCACCAGCATCCAGTGTGGGATGGAGGTCGGAGGTCACCAGCATCCAGTGTGCCTCCAAACTGATCTTGATAATCACCAGGAAGAGCCCCATTGGAAGAAGTTTGGCACATTAATGGGCTCTCCCTGTACCCATCTGGATGACTGATCTGGCCCAGGTCTTAGAGACACTTTCCAGAACACTCCACTTAGTTCCTGTCTTTGCAGGAAGTAGGCTAGGATCAGGATCCCAAGCTGTTTTAGAAATACACTCAAACTCAAGGCAAAGAGGAAATTATTAGAATGGCAATCCACAGGAAGCATCTCCAGTTGCAGGAGCAATGGGAATCAATGTTTAGCAAATTTGGGCTCTGTGGGTGCAAGTTATCACTCTCTTGCTGTAGCTCTGACCTTTAGACACTGTCATCTGGGGAGGGCACAGCTATAGGTGTGAGAACACATGCCACCAACACTCACAGCAACACACCTTCCAGACGAGCTCTGCCTTAGCCATGCTGCCATTAAACACTTGCATCAAAAATGCCTCTGACCATGAGAGAACAAGGGAATCATTACAGCACAGAAAAATCCCTCTCACACACAGGTTTGACCAAGCCCCTCTGTGGACAGTATGAATGAAGAAGGCATGAATGAAGAAGGCAGCTTCGGGTTCCACAAACCACATGAGGTATCTGTTTCAAGACAAAATACTTCTGTTCCAACACTGAATAAAGTCCAAACAAACAAAAAATTTATGCAAAGGGCTTTAAATTCTCTTTAAAATGCCCACCTACACCAGCATGCATGTTCTTCCCTGGCAACCACTGAAAACTCATCATTCCCCATGATTTTAACAGTTTTCCTTTTTCCGTCCAGAGAATGACTTAGGCCTTTGCAGATGTAAACACTGTTTACGAGGAGATAGTCATGAAAATAAATGGATGAGCTAGGAAAGTTAACAAGCCAAAAGCTTACATTACATTTGTATTTTAATCTAAATTACATACATCATAGGAAGTCCTGATTTGGCACAGAAACATCATTTTTGGTTTTTTTTTTTTTTTTAAAGTGTCTTGCTTTTGTCTCCTGCCTTCTAAAATATATCAAAGCCTTAAATCTAATCATTTTTCTTCTGAGATGGGACAATTAGTATTTTCACAGCATTTTCCTACAGCAAGTATAAATAAATATGAAATTGTCATGAAAATTACATTTGTGAGTTAAGTGGTAAAGATTCTAACTCTAAATTAACATTATCCTGGGGAATGATATTTGAGGTAAATGATTGTGGTGTCTGGGAAGCTATGAGGACAGAAAGCCAAGTCCATGAAGTTTTCGGATGGGCTGATGATCCACAGTGGAGACCCTGTTAACTACTATGTTGACAAGGTCTTGTGCCATGTACCCCTCAGACAGGGTGTGCTGGGCATCAACATGAAAATCATGCTGCCCTGGGACCCAAGTGGGACCCTGGGACCCAAGAAGCCTCTGCCTGATCATGTGAGCATTGTGGAACCTAAGGATGAGATCTTGCTCACCGCCTCATCTCAGAGCAGAAGGGCGGGAAGCCGTAGCCACCTGCCGTGTCCCAGCCAGTGCCCACAGCATAACGGGGTCTTGGCAGCTGCATCTGGAGACTGGATGTTGTCCTGTACAGACATTTAATAAAATCTTGCACAAAGACACAACAAAATTTGAGGAAAATGAGCATTAAACACTTGTTGGGACAAATTTAATGAAAAAAAAAAAAATGCCTGTGCAAGACTATATAAATATATATTCTCCTGCGTGGTTCTTTTGTTTTTCAAGACAGGGTTTCTCTGTGGCTTTGGAGGCTGTCCTGGAACTATTTCTTGTAGACCAGGCTGGTCTCAAACTCACAGAGATCCACCTGTCTCTGCCTCCCAAGTGCTGGGACTAAAGGCATGCGCCACCAATGTCCGGCACCCACATGGTTCTTTACCTTCAGTCATTCTGAATCAAATGTCTCTCTTGCTTTCTCCAAGTTGTATATTACCCAGGGTCTAACTTAATTTTGTCCAGTTTTTGATCCCACAGAGGTTATTGGATGACTGGTTTCATGGGTTCTATGAACCTACAGCACACAGTTTTCTTTCTCAGGACTCCCCTTGTGGTGCCTGTGCCAGATTGGAAGTTGCCAGCAGAGTCCTGGGCATTGCTTAGTTTGCCCTATACTTCCTCATTCACAGAATTGTTTCCAAGTAGAGCCACTGCTGATCTCCTGAGGTGAACTTGGTGGTCCTCATGTCCCCAGACACACCTCTGGCCACCCATAAAAGCAACTTTGAAAAGCCACCCCTCTTCCACACAGAAGATGTGCCTATCTATTTGGTTCAATGGAATAAAATCCACTATTCTGTGCCACAATTGTATTTCAAAACATACAGCCTAGAATATTACCTTTCTTCTCAAAACTAAGGGAAAATAGGTTTTCCCTAAATTAACTGACTTTAAAAGGTAGATTTCAAATATTCTTCATTGTGTTACAGAACTGGTCTTATTCAGTGGAGATCTGAACATGTCTGTAGAATGCTACTGGACTCTCACCCCTTGAGAGACATGAACTATACAGAATTTTCTTTTCTTTCAGAAATATAATTATAAAATGGAAGAAAGCTAGAGAATAATCTTCAGTGGACCCAGGGGTTCCTAAATGATCAAGTACTTTAACAGCCGTTGGATGTTCTTAGAATGCTATGAACTGTTCCCTGTACCCTCTTCCCTCTAGCCCATGTGGGAGCTAGGGGACAGGAGGCCCCAGAGAACCTTCACACATGGGTGCAGTTGGTGGATGGTGGGGTGTCTATTCGGCTCTTGTTTTCTTTAGTATCACTGGGGACCGACTTGTGGATATGGCACTTGAACACTTGCTTGTACGCCTTCCGGAAGTTTTCTGAGAGAAAGGCGTATATGATGGGGTTCACCGAGGAGTTGCTGTATGCCAGGCAATGGGCAGTGATCCTGAAGAAGAAGGAAGCTTGAGTCAGCGGGAAGGCTCCGAACTCAGCCCAGAGGTGAACAACATGATGGGGCAGCCAGGATATGCCAAAAACCACAACCACCACCAGGACAGTCTGAGCAGTCTGAAAGAGAGGAGTAGAGGTAGAGGGTTGGCAAGGAGATGGTTGCTGCGCAAGCACACCAGTCGCCAGAAGAACACAGCACTGTAAAACACACCCCAATATGTACTCATCCATATGTACTTCAGTGGGATAGAATAAAATGTTAAATTTGACCTCTGTCCATCATCTTAAGACCCAGCTGTGGCCTTATATGGTCCTGACTCCTAGGCATGTGTTCATTGTGGATGTGGTAAGAGTGAGATTGGAAAAGAATCAAGATTAAGGACTGTCACTCAAACTAGCAGAATTCTTCCAGCAGCCATGAGATCCAGAGCAGGAGGATCCAGAGCTCTGAACCAGTGTACAAGACCCTGACTCATTAAAACAAAACAACAACAGAAACGCAAGCCTCTTCCAGTGTGCGCACACCAAGTTCCACGTAGAGTCTGGAACTCAGACAAACACTGACTGACATGAACAAGTGGGAGATGTTGGTTTCTCCTCATTACTGAAGCCAAGATAGAGACTAGGGGCAGGGGCTAGCATTCTCACAGAGTCATTCTAAGTGCAGCCTGTAGACCAACCAGTCATATCACTTGCTACCTTAACTTTGACCTTCCTCTTGTTGCTCTTAAGTCAAAAACACTCAGAAATTTGGGGCAGAGTCTCCATGTTCCTTAATGATTCCCACTGAACAGACAACAGGAGGAAACTGACATTGGCTTGTGATCTCAATCCAGGGAACACATAGTGACTGGGATATGTACTCTGTGCACAGGCCAGGCCTCCCAACTGGCCACCAACCTAGAAAGCAAGGTAAACCTCAGAAGATCTTTTGTAAAGGTCACTTCTGACATGGACATAGTACATGTCAGGACTTCCTCTACTGCTTCTCATGAAAGGGGATCCTACTGTTCTAGAATGTTAAGTCTGAAATATAGGACATGGTGCCTACACATCCAGGACTGAGTCTTGACAGCAAGATAAGATAATAGTAGAAGTTCATCATTAAGGAAGGTTGAGAACCAACAGTTAATAAATGACCAGACTTCTGGTGGAGAAGGGAAGCTGGATTTCAGGTCAGGAATAGCAAACACTATGGGGCATGAGACAGGGGAGGCATCAAGAGGCATCATGGATTTTGCAAGATTTACTGGCTAGACAGCAGCTCTGTTCATCATCTTTCAAAGATGACAAACCTCATGACTCGATTTCCTCATTAATGAAGGAAATTAACCAACAAAATGATTCCCAGATTGTGCCTGGACCATGTGAGCACTAAACCAGCTCAGCTATTAAAAGCCCACAGGCAGGTGTTACAAAGTGAAAGCTTACCTATTAAGTCCACTTACAGCCTGGGCCACAGAGCAAATGTAATTAGCTCACACATATTAAGGAAGTGTTTGCTATCAATCCATTTGCCCATTAGTGTATGAGAACTGCCATTCTCTGGTGATTTCATCAAACAATCTAGAAACAATTATGTCCACACTACAGAAGAACATAGCCTCCTCCATCTAAGACAATCAGGCTGTCTCTACAAAAGTACCACCCTGTCAATAATCCATGCCATTGCGTCTTTAAGAAACATGAGCTAAGTACAAAGATAAGAGCAGGTCTATACCTTGGCAGCCTTCGGATAAGATTCATATCTTATCAAGATATGAAATTCAAATGGCTGTGTGGCAACTGTTCCTCTGAGCATTTGTGGTTCGTCCAAACGTGACCTCTAAATACTTGCAATCCCTATGCTTTTCTCAGAAACATGCTGGTTTCTTCATGGTCAACTGGCAGCTTTGAATGCAAGTGCCTCATAACTTATGATATTAGGAAAATTTATAGATGAGTATTCATATGAACTATTATCTACCTACAAGGGCTCCTATGAAAGCTTACTACAATGCTTCTGCGTACACAACAGTCCAGCTGGGAAATTCAGAGACACTACTCTCTCCTGAATGTCTCCTTAAGCTCCAAAGTTCACCTGAGTTAATGTTCTTAGCTTCCTCATGTCTGTGTCCTACACACAAGCTCTGGGTCTTTGTCCCAGTCCATGAGTTCACTTTAATTCAACCACAGTAGTATGAAAAACCAGATATTCCCAAGAGTTAATCGTCTTCTTCTGCTGCTCCTCCTTCTCCTTTTTCTTCATTCTTTTTGCTTTTTCAACAAATGTTAGTGGAACTGAAAAGAGCATAATTTAGCAGTAGAAACTCTCTGCCCTGATTAGAAGCTGTCCTTCTTGATGGATGATGGTTCCTTGAATATATAACTCAGAAAGCAATATGTCTAGAATACATCAGCTCAAAGTTAAAGATCTCTTCAGAATAATGCATATGTTCTAATCCAATCCCAGAACTGTGGTAGATCAGTGTGTCCATCATTAGCCCAGATCATTCTGGGCCCTGTCACTATGACTGAACAGTTATTAGATAGTTACCTTGGAATCTGCCTCTGTGTACAAAGCTCAGGAGCTTTAGTGAATCCCTGATGAACTGCATAAAAGCCACAATAAAACTGGGGTTATCTCGTGGACCTTAAGTGAAAGCAATTAAAGAGGTTTCTCTTGATACTGACAGTTCCCACGGCAGAAGCATTTCTACTCATAGACAAAGCAAAAGAACCTGCCTCTGCTGTATATATCCCTCTGATGTGAACTCCCTGCACCGGAAGTGCTAGCCTGTAACAGACACACTGCTCTATATGAGAAAGGAGGTTTTTAATCTTCATGTCTAACGTTGTGTCCCTGTTTCTTACAAAACCATTTCTCCTTACTGGAGACAGTGTGGTACTCAGCATCTTCATTACTGACACCATTCACATATGTGGAGAGCAGAATACTAACTACCATGGATGGATAAGCAGTATGCACACTTGAGGTTGATCCTTTTATTAGCCTGGTTTACACTGGACCCATCTAAAAAAGAATTGGGGGCTGGAGAGATGGCTCAGTGATTAAGAGCACTGGCTATTCTTCCAGAGAACCCAGGTTCAATTCACAGCACCTACATGGCATCTTACAACTGTCTGTAACTCCAAGATTTGACCCCCCTTACACAGACATACATGCAGGCAAAACACCAATGTGCATAAAAAATAAATAGATTAATTTTTAAAAGAAAAAAAGCTGGGTGGTGGTGGTGCATGCCTTTAATCCCAGCACTCTAGAGGCAGAGACAGGCGGATCTCTGTGAGTTCTGGGCCAGTGTGGTCTACAGAGTGAGTTCCAGGACAGCCTCCAAAGCTATACAAAGAGAGCCCTGTCTTGAAAAACAAAACAAAAAGAATTAGTCTCCCTTGAGCAGTGAGTTGCTCTCTTCAAGCAGTCCAAGACATCTGCCTTTGCTTCAAAGAGTCTCATTCACAATGTGTCTAACAGAACTCGGCTGGGAAGCAAAGAATGAACACAAGGTGAAGACATGAAAAGCCCCACGCAAGTTGTGTGAACAACAGCCAGAAAGCTCAATGCACAAGTCAGGAAACAGGGAATGCAGCTGTTCAAAGAGCCTAGAAGTTCATGAGACATCAGCTAGCCTTTGACTGGGTTTCCTTCAGATGCACCCACGCAATGTGCTGCCTAGCCCATCCCACCATCCTCCCTGCAGTACCTAAGGTTCCTGTCTCAGGCCAGTCAGCCTCAAGACAGAAACATTTTCCACTACATGTGACTAGCTGTACAATGTGTCCATCACAAAGGGCTGGACTTGCCCTTCATAACCATGATAGATCTCACGCAGAAAGCTCTCTCTGGTGATGTGAATGTGTATACCCCCAGACTCATGGGCTGAAATCTGATTGCCAAGATGACAGTATCTAAAGGTCAGGCCATTAGGAGAGGATGAGGAAGAGCTCTCCAGAGTACAGTCGTTGTCCTTATAAAAGAGCCCAGAGAGCTACCCACTCCATCCAGCATGTGTGGGTAGAGAGAGAATGCTGGGGCCAAAAATCTACTGGTACTTAACCTTGCTCTTCCAGCCTCCAGAACTATAAGAAATAGATTTCTACTGTTTAGAAGCTACACATTGTAAGATATTTGTTTTGTCACATTAATAAATGGTGCCACCGAGAAGGCCCAGAAATATAATGGTGTCAGAATGAGCAGCAAACTATCAAAATCTCTACTCCACTGACCCGTTCTCCATTGGAACCTATTTCTCATCAATCCCTTGCTGGGATTTGGATGTGCGATGTCCTCTAACGGGCTCACAGAATTGAAACTTTGGTACCCAGCCGAGGCTGGGCTTTGAGATAGGGTCTAACTATAAGAAGTCAGTCACAAGGAGTGGACCTTGAGGTCTCTCAGCCCAGCGCCACTTCCTGTCCCTCTCTGATTTCTAATGATGATACAATATGACCAGCCACCTGATGCTTCTGCCAACATGCCTTCTCTAACATGATGAACTATACCCTCTTGAACCCTCAACCCAAATAGTCCTCCCTCCCTTAAATAGCATGTATTTGGGTATTTGATGGTAGTAACAAGGTAAGTAACACAGCCATTGATCATCCAGATGTGTATTGCATCAGTCTCCATCAGAGTACAAAGTCATCCCTTACAGAGTAAGCACTGAGCATATGTCCTGATGACCTGTGCTGAGATCCAGAAAAGGGTCCCTGGAGACAATCTATGATGGGGTGCTGAGGTCTGGGCTCTTTTCCATCTCAGTCTGTCTTAAGGCTCCTCTGTCTTCCTTCTCCGCATTGCCTGCTTCTCTCTCGCCCTCTCTTTCTCCCCCGCCCCCGCCAGCATCTCTTTCCTACCTCTTTCATATACACACACACCCCACCATCATGTGTATTTGTTCTATGCAAACAAAAAGGCAATTAAATCTATCAGACGAGCTCCGACATCTGTTCAGCAGCCATGAGGGGGTAGAGTCTGAGAAGGGAGGAGAACCATCTCCCTTTACAGTACTCAAACTTTCTTCCTTGTATAGTGGGAATGAGCAAAAGGAAAATTTTATGTAAATAGGCATTCATTTTACATGCGCACAAGCTTACAAAATGGTCATTATGCTCTTCATTATAAAATAAAAGAGAGGTTTTCCTCATCTTCCCTTACACACATTGTTTCTTCTAGGATCTTTTCAGCTTCTCACCAACGTCTCTTCAAAGACAAAGATGAGATTCAGTGAATTTTTTTTTAAGGAGAGCAGCTGCAGCCTCTCGATCAGATGAACTGGTTTTTGTTTTGCAGTCAAAGGAATTAAACCTCGGGCCTCATGCATGTCAGGGTAGGCTCTACCAAGAAATTGCATCCCAGCCCTTTTCCATTCACTCTGCATTTTTAGACAAATTGTGTTTTGCTAAGTGGCTAGGATTGGCCTTGAACTCCAGATTTGCTATCCTCCTGTCTGAGCTCCCCAAGTAGCTGAGATTAGATTTCACCACCTGGCTTAAATTATTTGAATTAATACTAAATATTTAGCATAATGACGGGTATCTACTTCACTACTAAATCCCAATAAGCCCCTCTTCTCGAGTGTGTGTGTGTGTGTGTGTGTGTGTGTGTGTGTCTGTTTGTGTGTGTGCAGTCACGATTGTAAGCATGTGCTTGTGGAAGCCAGTGGACAACATTATGTTTTATTTCTTAGGCAGGCTCTCTCACTGGCCTGTGGCTTACTGACTAGGTCGAGCTGCTGGCCAGCAAGCCCTGCCTGTCTCTGCCTCGACAGTTCTGAGATTACAAGAGCACACCACCAAGTCCACCTGTTCTTTTCTCTTCTTTTCTTTTTTTCTAATTTATTTGTTTATTTTATGTATGAGTGCTCGATCTGCAAGTATGACTTTATGCCACAAGAGGACGTCAGATCTCAGTGCATGTGGCTGCTGGGAATCGAACTCAGGACTCTACAAGAGCAGCCACTGCTCTTAACTGCTGAGCTTCTCTCCAGCCCTCTTCTTAAAAACAAAAATAATAATTAAAAAAAACATGGGTTCTGGAGACCAAACTCAGTTTCTCCTACTTGCATACCAAGCATTTTATTGACTGAGCTATCTCTCCATCTCCCTGAAGGATGTTACTGTCCAAACACTCATCCTACTGGACGTCTTTGGACATCCATGTTTTTCTAGTGATGCTTGGCTCCCAAAGGAAGCCAATTCCTTTCAGAAACCAGAGGTCAGCTTGTTCCTGCACAGTACCTACACGCTATGAAGAGCCTTCCAAGGAGAAATTACACCAAGTCCTTAATTGTTCTTAAGGACACATTTTCTTAGAGGTGAGAAGTTGTGCTTGAAGGGAAACTAAGAGATTAAGAGAATGTAACAATGGCGTTAAAATACAGAATTGATAGCAGAGGAGGGAGCACAGTGTTCGGGGCTGACTCCTGTCATAGAACTCATACTTCGGCAATTAGTATAAAGAAAGATCCGCAAGCTTAGAACTAAACGCACCTAATAACTGTTGGGAGCTAAGGAAGGGCCAGAGGCAGAAGTCTGAGACAGTCATCAATTCTTAGACAGCTTTCCCCCAGGCCACACCCCATCCACCCCTCAAAGAGGGTTAGGCCATCTGTGAATGGATGTGAGGATAACTTAAAACAAAAAGCAAGCAGAGCTCTCCAAAATTGACAGCCACTGCACCTGTTTGAGAATATTACCTTTTTCTTGGATGCTTCTGACTTTTTTGACATGTTCTTCAACTTTTTATGCAGATGGTTAAGGACCTGCAAAATAAAGACAGATAAGATGTGTTTACCTCATGCTTTGCTTACACATTGCCTCTTCTTCAGTGGCAGCCACTGAACATTCTGCTGTGATCACACTATTGTTTACAAAACAATGAAAATAGGAATGCATCATAGATCAAAACAACCCTGAATCAAAGTCAATGGATACGTTCAGAGGTATCCCTGAAGACAGACAACACCCAGACATGGTAGAGTCCATGAGAATGCTAACATGCTCAGAGTTTCTTGAGGGAAAGAACCTCCCCTGAAGGTGGGGTATGGCTTGCTCCTGCAATCCACTGCTCTCCCTGCTTTAGTTCTTTCTGCCGAAGAATCTACATGCCTAAAAACACCAGGTCCTGGGGTTCAGTGACAGCTCAGAGACCCACTGAAAACTGGAGACCCAGGCTATGGGAGTTGATGATCCAGTGAAGAAAACCTACTGAACAAAGAAGAGACTTTACAGTTACTCTGTGGATTCCCCTGTCCTGTGCCAGTTTCAATACTTGCTACAAACCTCTCCCATTACAGATCTCTTCGAGCAAAGCACCAGCTAGCAACGCTGCTTTCTTGTGTAATTCAAACACTGTGTGGTCTTATATTTTTGGTTGTAAGCCTAGCCTTTAGCAGCTAAGCCATCTCTCCAGTCTCACTATGTGGCCCTTAGACATAACCCCCCTTTTAGGAATTCGGCATCGTTGGTGATGATTGCAGGTTTTACCCTTACCATACCTGTCAGTGAGGTAAGGTAGCTTTCATTCATTGAGAACCCACTCTGTTCTCTTGCCACTGTGATATTTGGGAGAAATTATATCAATTATATATGGGAATTTACAGTCTGAACTTGCTCCCCGGTTTGTAACCTGCAGAGCTGGCCCAAGGCTTATTTTCTCTATTCTGTTGGAGAACTGGGAATAAATGGCAAAGAGCTTGAAATGGGCTGCAGGTTTCTGAAAAGGCTCTCAGGACATGGACGCATGTTCAAGCAACTTGGATGTTTTCCTCCAACACCACAGCATGGAAATAATGTAATCGAATTGGCCTGGCCGCCGCTGAAGCCTTCTCCACTCTGACAGAGGCAGCACCATCAGTCACATCCTAATTGAGAAACCTCAGGATTCATTTACCAGCCTTCCCTGCCCTAGCAGTCAGAGCCGACAACCAAGCAACCGTCTCTGGTGTGAGTCTCTGCCTTCAGATTCCCTGCCTTACCAAGACACCTCTCACTGCTGAAAACACATCAGTGTCTGTCAGCCACACAAGCCTCTGCTTACTATGGGAGCAAGTGGACAACTTGCTGGTGCATTGACAGTGAAGTAGCTCTATCCTGCCAACAGAAAGTACATAGAAGGCAGTCACCGAGGGGTTTTCAATAGCAGCAATGAGAAAAGCCTGTAAGAGGGAGGTGAGGCTGGAGCCAGGAGCCTGCTGATGGAAAGGACAGTCCAGCTAGCTGACAACAGCTGGCATGATTGTAAATTCTTATATATGACAGCAACAACAACATTCACAGCATCTCTCCCAAATATGATAGTAGCAAGAGAACAGAGTAGCCTCTAAGCAGCTATTCTAGCTGGAAACCATCTTTTGCATAGATGTTAATATTTGCAGACTTATTAAAGCAAAAACAGATATGCTAAGTGCAAAACCTGCAAGATGGTCATATGTCACCAGTGATGCTGAATCCCTAGAGGGAGTTGTCTAAAGAACAGACATCACAGTACTGTGGGTCACAAGGAAAAGAATACCGGATATGCTGAAAGAGTTCACTAAAGGGCATAAGTATGGGTGGCATACTTCTTGATGTTAACTGGGTTTACATAGTCAGGCCAACTAAGTTGGGTTCCAGTTCAGGAATTCTGCAGCACCTAAGCATATTGACTTTGCTGATCAGTCCACAGAGATGATTCCAAATGTGTTCTTCTTAGCTCTGTTTTCCCTCCACAGCTCAGGCTATAAGCACATAGTGGCACAAGGTCCTGCCATCAAGCAAGAGATTGTAGACATTGGGACCACTTATGATTTTATCTCTGGAGACAATGAGCATAGTGGGCATGCCCTCACTTCAGACCTAGGAGGGCTCTAAGCAGAATGCATGCTGAGGACAGAGAGTGGCAGTCAAGAGCCCTACAGTGCAGAGAGGAGCCATCTTGAAGAACACAGGCTGCTCCAACTCACTATGCTCTCCAGGGTCTTTGAGGTGCAAAGAGCTGTCTCACTAAACACAGCTGAGAAGATCATCTCTGAATCAATGAATAAATGCAATTTATTCATTGATTTTTTAAAAAGAAAAATCTAAAATACACAGCAATCTCAAGTGTTATTTTGGCCATTTGTGGTTCCTCGAGTTGGCCCAATTCCTTGGACATATAGCCAGTTCAGAACCTGGCACTCAAGTTCTAGAGTCATTAACTAGATGACACTTACTTACTGCCTGACAGAAAACAGCAACTCCAGGTCTCTTATCTGTAGCTATTTAGGGCCTGGAATAAATGTGCAAGTATTAACATTGACTCAAAAGATGTTTGCAGCTAGACTACTTGGTGAGAAGCCAACTATTTCTGGATGAAAAAATAGTCAAATTTTCACCCATTCATTAGTTCCTAGACTTTGTCTTCTGTGGGACTTTTGTAGACTCTTTATTGACAGCCTGTTTAGTCCTAAAAGTTTACTTTTTCATTTCCACAAAGATGGAAATGGTTTTCCCCCTAGGGACTTGGGGCAGGGGATGAAGAGAGCCTGTGTTTCCTTTTCAAAGTAGCAGTTAGGAATTTAAAAAAGCAATATTTTAAGTACAGCTCTAGTTCCCAGCCCCTGTCCTCCAGAGGCCAATTAATTGTCATCTCCTGAAACCCCTTCTTTTACCAGACTCACCATCTGGTCAGTTGTTGCATCCCTCTGAAAGTCCTCTTATTAATAAGATAGAGATGGCAATTCCCACCCAGAGGCTCGAAGACCAAGCTCATGGGTGTGTGTGCATGCCCCACAACTCACTGTGCATAGAAGTCTTTGCCTTGCATTTGAAAAGACCAAAGGAATAAATTGGCTACTTCCTGACAGCTAGGCTGTACAAGCATCTTGGGAGCCAGTGTATTCATTTAAGTAATATGGCCATTCAAAAGACATACTGATCACATAGACGTGGGGAAGATGGATTCTTTTAAATGTATTTTTCTGGTGGAGATGTACCTTATAGTGGGATGTAAGAAACCATTGCTTTTCTAGATAGGAAGTTGTTTATGGTCCTACTGCCACAGTCCAAAAGATTGGGAGTCAATGAAGGATAAAGTTGCATGGAAACTTTAGAATTTGCCTTGCAGGGATTCCCCCCTTCCCCGCTAGTTCTCATAGTACCCTAAAAAGAGATATGACATTGAGGTTATCTCAAGAACCTCATCAAGTGGCCACTAAAAATACACTCTGGATGATTAATGGTGCATCAGGTGGTGATTGAGAAGTCTAAGACTTTTGATTAATGTAAATGCCCATTTCTCTGCAATTCCTTAGGAGTTGTGAGCCACAGGTTCTTCCAAAATCATGACGACAAGATAGATAATCATATAGCTCCCCTCGCTGTGTGTTCTTGCTGCCCCTTTCCAGAACAAGCTCACCACCTGGATCCCCAACGCTGTCCACAAAACCTTGCTGGGAAACAGCAGCTGCCCTTCCACCCATGGTGTGTCCCAGCAGATCTGGGACACACACCTGCCTCTGTGCTTTGTGAGGCCACCTGAGGCAGAGCTGCAGTGCCCTTGAAGAAAAGCAGGATGAAAGTCTCTCTAGACAGGAATGCGAACTCTCCCCAGTACCTCTCAAACTCTAAGTTAACTTTCTTGTGTCACAAATCATTATAGAGCAAGCTGAGACAAAATGGAATGGAGAGGTAGAAGGAGCAGAGGAGCAGGATGCTAGAGTCTTGGTCGGGAGGACAGTGCTCCCCACTCACCTTGGCATAGCAAAAGCAGATGAGCAGTAAGGGCAGGAGATAGCCAAAGACGAAAGTGCACACCACATAAGCCTTCTTGTGGAGCTGGTTGGGCCAAAGCTCCCAGCAGAAGGTTTGGTTGTTGTCCCGATAGTAGAGACGCTGGTGGTAGGCCACTGGTGAGGCCATGGCGATAGACAGTGCCCAGATGAAGCCCACGCCCAGCAGCGCATTGCGGGACACCCTGAGGGAGGAGGAGCGCCGCGAGTGCACGATGGCCACGTAGCGGTCCACAGACATCGCGGCCAAGGTGAAAATGCTCACGAGCATGGATACAGTGAAGAAGTAGTGTGTGAACTTGCAGATGAAGGCGCCCAGCACCCAAGTGGGCAGTGCGTACACGGTGGCCTGGAAGGGAATGCAAAAGAGCAGATAGGCCAGGTCTGCGATGCTGAGGTTGAGGATGAACAGGTTGGTGGTGCTGCGCGGCTTGCCAGGTTTGCTGCGCGCCAGGACAGTGATCACCAGGCTGTTCCCCAGCACGCCCATCGCGAATATCAGGCCGAACACCACCAGCGTGATGAAGTTCTCCACGCCGATGCCAAACAGCAGCCTGGACTCCACAGCCGCGGGAGGCTCTGGATCACTCCCGTTCCCCTCGTTCCCCTCGCTGAGATTCAAGGTAGCCAGTTCCATCACTTACTGGCACACCCCTTGGGTGTCTATGCAACGGAAAGCGCTGGGAAGGAGTGCCAGGCAGGGAAGGCGGGCTCTGGGGATAGCTGAGAATCTCCGGGTGTCTCGGCACAGTGCAGTGAGAGCGTGTATCTCCAGCCAGAACCCCCAGCAACCAGAAAAGAGAGCAGGGGGCAGCGCCCCGGGCCGCGCCTGGTCAAACTGTCCTTGGTGCCTGGCCTGGCTACAGAGGGGGCGGTGCTGCAAGTACCTAGTTGAACCTTCCCATGCGGGGGCGGTGGACTCCACAACACAAGAGGTACTGGTCCTCTGTGTGACTCCTCCGATTGCGAGCTGGGCTGATAGGACTCGACCACGCGATCAGCCTGGTCTTTTGCGCCTTACCGGTTCTAATCCTTTTCTGGCCGTGTCCCCTTGCTCCCGCAGTGCCGTGGGGTCGCACCTGTTGCTCTGAGCCTCTTTATCCAAGCGAGCTGTCAGGGCACTGTGCTGCACACCTTGGATAGTGCAGAGTCGCTGAGCTTCCCACACTAAGCGCTGCGCTGCGCTGCGGCTCCCTCCTGCTTTCTCCCTGGTCTTCTGCAGGGCAAACCTCTCTCTGGGGTTCCCAGTGGCTGGGTCAGTTTCTTCTGCACGGGGGGGCGGGGGCCGGGG